ACACCATGTTGTGCAATGGCAAATTGTATTTTTTGGAATTAAGTCACACTGAAACTTAAAAGATGTATAAGAAAAAAAAAATATTCACAGTGTATCTACTGACTACTATTACCTCTTCGCCTGTCTACCCTTCCCCCAATTTATCCTGAGTTAGAAATATCTGTACAAGAAACTAATCAAATAGAAAGTGTTTAAGTTGTGGTGATAATTTACATTTACAATACTTTACTTTGTGGCGGGAGGTTGTAGTCTAACGTCACCAGATATAACCAGACACAATGCATGGGCATCAGATGACTAGACTGCAAGCAAAATAAGGATTTATTATATAATTAAGAACCTGCAAGTCTTGATGCCCCAGGTGATGTGGACAGATTTGTGGTGATATAGTGAAATGTTGAATGAATGTCCCAATTTATCATTCAATATAAAATCATGAAATATGGCCACTTACAATACAGGGTTGCTTAGCAAGCTTTAAAAAGAAAACGGAAACATTCGGTCATGTGACGTTCGACATCCCAGAGGATGTCGAACATCATCAAATGCAGCTCATAGGTAAAGATTTGATTCAATGCTTTTCTATAAAAAGCATTTGATTGGACAGAGGTGTGGAATGCGCATCTCATCTCCAATACTCCTCTATGAGATACCTCCTGGATGACGTCAGGGAAGAGGAGGGAGGACAGAATCGAATGAGTCAATGCTGGATTGAAAAAGACAACTAAAGAACATATTTTTTTTTACCGGTCATTGGAGCGAGCTGAATGTAAATATGGACTAGGACACTACAGTATTAGGAATACATAATTGTATTCCTAACTTTTTAGTGTTCCTTTAATGTATGGATATACATACATACATACATGCCCCCTCCATTCTATTTCTCTCACATCCTATATATAAGCACATGCTTCCTTTATTACACGTCTCTATAACAAACTATACTTCATAGTTCTACTCTTTTGATAAAGGCTGCTCCGAGTACAATATAATTACCTACCCTAACACTTAAAACAGTAACACAAACATATGGAAAAGGGCATTGAGTATTTGGAGTTGTCATTCCTGAACAGCTGATATTTAATTTTGTACTCATTCTGACAGATTCCACCACATTTTACAACAAGGACCACTAGAATCAATAAGGAGCCAACTATCAAACAACATGTAGTTCAAAGTCACTTTGTGCAATACTCATACTCTCACATACCAAAGCTTAGTGTGTCCACCCCTGAGTCCACAGACTAGCTCAGTGAAACTTAAGGAATAAGCTGTGGTATAATATCCTTCAACCTGTTTGTAGGTGTTGTCTTTGATGTTGGTTTAAGGAGATAGCTGATATTATGGCACAGCATAGCTGAAATTCTTAACAAACATCATGGGTAATTAAACTTTTCAAACAAAGGAACACTTAAAATGATGCAGCATGTGAGGTGGACCAGAAATCATGAGCAGCATCTCTCGAGGACTTATGACCTTATGTATTTAGCAACCCACTCATTGGAAGCTTTGTTTTTCTCACCAAGAGATTAACAATTTGGTGGTAAAGTCCTACAACATGCAGTATAAGGGATTGTCTATGTTAACAGGTAGGTAATGGAAAAGCAAGAGCAGAACATACCAGAAATAAAACAACAACAGCCCCCGCTCAATAAAAAGAAAAATTATTCTAGTTAACTTTTTTCTTTGTTAAAGGGGAGACGAGGACTAATGTGTGTATTTTTCAAAAGGTCTTCCATCTTATTTATGTTACTCAAGATAAATGTAACATCTTTCTCTGTTATTTCAGATGGCTTATTAATCAAATGTGAGATATATTTAGGTCATGTGATGAAATGGCTCCATAGGAAAAACACAGTGTGATGTGTCATTTATCTCATATGAGATAAATAAGAGGGTTTCATGCATAATATAACATTAAGAAGAAGGGTAATGATTTAGAAATACAGCAGAAACATGAAATCTGACACCAGGACCCTTATGGCTGATCTAGTTTGCCATTTCTAAACTACTTTAAAACCGCTGATTTATGAAAGGCAAGCTAACACTGAAAAGCATACATTTGAGATAGAATGTAAACAATAGTAAACATAAGCTACAACCTGGGGCCCGGAAAATTTTGATGGGTCGCACAACACTACTTTTGCCTGTTGAGAAAACCTGTGCAGTGATAGCAGGATAATTTAGTTGTCTAATAAATCCTATTATGAAATGTACGTCATTTAGCTATTCAAGCACAATATCCACAATATGGTGTGTCCCTCTCAATGTGTAAAGGATGAGTGTTCCGTTTGTAAATTTAGAAAAATTGGAGACATTCGCCCAAATACATTTTTAAGGAAATGCTTATATTTTTATTATTATTATTGCCATTTATATAGCGCCAACAGATTCCGCATCGCTTTGCAATATTATGAGAGGGGGGATTTAACTATAAATAGGACAATTACAAGAAAACTTACAGGAACAATAGGTTGAAGAGGACCTTGCTCAAACGAGTCAGAAACACTTTTTTTTTTTTTTAAACTTATGTGTTTTGCGAATGTGAGCAAACAATTATTATATGTATTTACTGATCTGGTGATCTGAGAAGTCTTGTCACCCCAAGTTACTTACCCATTATTCTACTTCTATGGTAGAAAACTGATCAACGGTATTAAAATATGTGTGTTCACATTATAGAATGGGGGAGATGACAGTCACCTCAGCTTATATCAGGCATTTGCATTTCATTGTACACTGGAGCTTGTATATAAGACATACAATGTACCCAAACCTCCTTTCCTCCAAACTGCAAGAATGCAGGATCCTACACAGTGTGGAAAAATGAGGGATGTCATTTACATTCCCTCTGTTCAAATTTTCTACTGTCTGAAAACCAGCGCTAGAGCAGAGTGGTAGAATAGTGATGTTCATTCCAACTAAATTAATTGCAGTGCAAAATGAAGCCAATCCTGCATATACACGGAGTTGGAAGTAAATTCATTTAAGAAAAATATTGTTAAAAGATTTTTGGTTTTTTTTGTGTGTGGATATTTCAACAAATATAACTTCACCTTTTGTCTTTGTTAATCGCTTGTATGTCAATTCATTTAAGCTACATATCCCCATTCTATAATTATATATATATCCCCATTCTATAATTGCAAAGCGCTGTGGAATATGTTGGCACAATATTAACAATAGTCCTAATAATAATAATCAAATATTTGGGTCGTAACAAAAAATAAATACAAATACAAAAAGTGAGTCCTAAATTTTACATTATTCTGGTTGATCGCTACATAAATTCATGTTACAAAATGTAAGTATAAAGTACTGTTTAGAACAGAAACAGTCTGGTCAACATACATACAAACAGAACTGTTTCAAGAAAAGTACCAAATTAACTTGTGTACAATAGTGCTTTACAAAAATCTAAACTAACGAATATTAAAAATAAAAAGTAACTCAAAAAAGAATTATCTGTATAAATAATGACTTTCTGTTACCATAACAACGGACACTAAGGGTCTCTTGTGTGCGATCTTCAGGCTAAAATGTACACACTGTGAAACACATTGCTTTTGTTGTGGTTATTTAGATACATAAACTGAACAAAAAAGAAATTATGCGCTGTTGTGCAAGTGATTAAGGCTCTGTTTTAATTATGTCCTTAACAAATCCTCAACGGAAGACAAAAGCCATTGTTTGTTGGCATTTCACCCCTCTTCTAAACTCTTTGTAGGAAACAAACAGGAATGTGTATATTTGTGCTAACTTTTGTTGCTTTCTTAAGTCCAGTTCTAGTTCTTGCCAACATCAAGAGCTTTTCAGACAGATGTAAGAAGATAACCTTTTTCTCCTTTCTATACGATTGAAGCCTATTAAAAGTCTTAATGAAGGGAAGGATTAAGATTTAGTGGGACACTGGTGGCATCACTTGCAATATACAGATAAGGATATTAAAAAAAATATTCTGGATCTTCTCGTAGTTTTGGTGGATTGGCTGCTTGTTAGTTTAAAGACTAACTAAAGACTACCTTCATGTTTTGTCCGTTATTTGCTAGAAAAGGGCAACTTGTCCTTAGTATATATAGCTACTGCTGGCCATCAGGATCTTATGGACAGTGACGAATATATTAGACTGCTGTTACAGCCATAGCAAGACTAGATTGAAAATAAATTGTCTATATGCCTAGCAAAGCTGCCTTATGTGATATTTACCAAATCACACGACACAGGGAAACTATTTGGATTATCTATTATTCCTGCATCTATAATACAATACCAGCTATTTGCTTTAGAAGGTAAATGCATAAACTAAGTGATTATTTTCCAGTTAAAAACCTTAAACTAAAATATACGGTATATATCACAATTCAAACAGTTATTGTTTTAAATAAATGGATTTAAACAAATAACATAAAAATAAAACTTTTTTTTGTAGAAAATATAGGAAGAGGGAAACTAAAATGATAATAAAATGGTGAACTAATCTATTCTTCGTTTTATTTTTCAGAATATAGATTTTTAAATAGCAACCCAATGATTTGAAAACATAATGCTTATCGTGAAGGTTCATCCATAAGGGTTGGTCAGATCACCCCTAGTTTTTTGTTGCAGTAAAAAATAAATAAAAATAAACTTCACCAGCCACCACTGAATGCAGATATATACAATATATACATTTACCAAGCTGAAACAGGGTATAAATGACATGTGAGCTAACACCCAGAGGTGTGCAATGGTAGGCTTATATAAAGCACTGTCAGTAACTCTGCCCACCACTTAGTAGCATTGAAACCGGCTACTATTAAGCAAATGGATAAATATATAGATGCAATCATGCAGGTAAGTGTATCTTTATTTAAGCATTTTAGAAATGGTTGTTACAAATTATTTACGTACATATAAACTGTTGTCTATGCTCTGTCACAAAAGAGGTTTCAGGAATAGTGATGTCCCGAACGGTTCGCCGCGGACGGCGAACATATGACCCTGTACCTCACAGTCAGCAGACACATTCCAGCCAATCAGCAGCAGACCCTCCCTCCCAGACCCTCCCACCTCCTGGACAGCTCACTAAGAATGCAGCTTCACAATGGATACTGTCCAGCAGGTGGGAGGGTCTGGGAGGGAGGGTCTGCTGCTGATTGGCTGGAATGTGTCTGCTGACTGTGAGGTACAGGGCCATATGTTCGCCATCCGTGGCGAACCGTTCGGCGAACCGTTCGGGAAATCACTATTCAGGAATTATTGAACAGACCTAAGAGTAACTAAAAAATAAGGGCTCACAATACAAGAAGAAGAAGGGCCTAAAGCTTTTTAATAAACTGCTCTTAAACCGAGCCAAGATGAATACCAAAACATTTAATCCATTATCACAAAATGCAAACATCATAATACATTAATGAACAAATAAAATACAATAACTCAAGCGTACAATAGATTGTAATGTTATTGGCCACTGATATAAACACAACTTAGATACAAACGATACGAAACCATTTATTTTTTTCTGTTGTTTTGTTTCTTTTATATAAAGCAAATTAATTATTGACCTTGATCTGAACTCAATAAACTTCAGTTACTAAATGCTGCACATTATCTCCAAGTTCTTTCATGCAGTGAATCTCAGCACTAGCTACTCAATAGAGCTATGTGGGCTCCTGCTGTAAGTTACTCTCAGTGGCCTTATTTGTATTGTGTCAATGCATTTGTATCTACTTAGCATTATTACGATATTGATTGCTTCACTCTGTGAGATGTGTCTTTGTCTGAGACATGGCCCATGAAATGCCAGTCTTGAAATGGTTAAGAAAATGTTTATCACAAGACTGGCTTCAGAGTTGAAAGTAATGTGATCAGTAATGAATTTTGTGTTACATTAGGTTGTATAAATGGGCAGACAAGCGCAGACAACAAGTGGCCAGGAGTCAGGGCTAATCTAATGAAGTAAAAATAGAGACAGCACCAATTATACTTGGGGCCAGCTCGGAGCTGCTGCAGGGACTGCAAATGAATAGGTACAAATCAAATTACTGACTAATAGACGCACTACAAGAGGGGGCAGTCAATGCTAAATGCATTAAGGCCTTGTGACCTCCCTGCTCTAAACAGCACAATCCCAAATTTGACTTCTATTCTCTTTTCCCCCTCTCTCTCTCTCTACATATATATCTCACTGAAGAAATTAAAGGGACTCTTGTTCACTTAAGAGCTCGGGATGCAACAATGTGTCTCCTTAAAGGATTGAACAATTTACATTATGAAGCTGCTCTGCAAAAAGCTGTTTGAAGAGCCAGCATTACAGACCAGGCGAACCGTCAGCCCAGCTTTTAAAAAGTGTTCACACACCCTTCAGACATGTCAGAAAGACACAATAATCGACATGCAGGAGGCTACACGATGACTTAGAGGCTCCCTCTTAATGTTTCTATTTTTTTTTTTCAATCTTTATTGTAGTTGCTTAATTTTTCCTCTCTATCTGCCGACTTGAATGTAAACATCTCAGTTGCTGAAGAGACTTGGCTTCCTGCGATTGAGATCATTTGCTTGAAGCACAGGGCATTAAACATAACAGCTGTTAAAGAAAAGCTGTGTCTCAATCGAGACCTTATTACTCGTGTTAGGCAGGACATGTGTCACACAAGAAATAATGCTTTTTTTTAACGTGGCATACTTGATGGCGATATTTGTAGCTACAAGGGAGGGTTTGTAGTACTGATATTAACCTCTTCAGGGTTAGCTGGACAAAAGCCTTTACTAATATTAGAGTTCTGACAAGTTATTGTTCCTCAAAGGGGTTAGTGCTCATACAACCCATTGAAAAGACATATGACTCTAATATTTATAACACCTTATAATGCATTTTGTATATTAATAAATCATACTGTTTTTGCTTTATTTATTTAGCATATACATTGAAGATGTGCACAGGTAGCTTACCCGCTAAGCAAACTTTGATTTGTTGATTAAAAATCATTTTTAGTTAAATTACAGTTAAAGGGTCAGTAATTTCCATAATCACTAGTAGCCAAATGTAGTGGCTATGGTGCCACAAGGCAGCAGGCACCACTGTACTCACTCTTCCTTATAAGGTGTACATGTGAACACCCATTTTGCCTGCCACACATAGAACAAAATTTTGTGTGCACATGGACGAGTCAGTAGCAGGGCCTCCATGAATTTTGGCAGACTCCTGCGAGATGTCCATATATTAAGTTACATCAGTATCATGTTTGGCTGAGTCATTCCTAATAAGAGTTGACTGCAGAAGATGCCCAGCATTTGCTTTAGGGGACATCAAATGTGAACATTTAAGAATATTATTTTGGCATATTTCTTTTAAAGGGAATCTATAGGCTAGGAATCAATGCTTTCCTATGGGGTTTTAGCGGACGCTGGATGTCCTCATGCATAGCGTGAGGACATCCAGAGTTAGGCGACCAAAAGTTGCCTGACAACCAGAAAGTGACTGTAGTGGCTGTCTGGTAGACAGCCACTAGAGATTGAGTTAGCCCTGCAAGATAATTATTGCAGTTTCTCAATAACTGCAATAATTACCATTGCAGGGTTCAATTGGCACGGACACTGCACCCAGACAACTTCAATGAGCTGAAGTGGTCTGGGTGCCTATAGTATTCCTTTAATTCATTATCTATATAATACATTAACAATTGGTCAATTCCAGACTGATGTGTTCCTTAACATACAAATTACCATAAACAGTTAAAAATTATATTTGATTTCATAATATTTTTGTGTTTATATAGAGGATTTGTCACAATTATGTCCACAATCAGTTATGGGAAATTAGCTATTGATTGAACTTTAATGACTGATTACTAAACTGAGACATTCGCTAATTCAAGCTAGGAAAATAGCTGATTAGGAGAAATTCTACAAATCATCTGTTATTGCCTAAATATTGCAGTTTGGTTCTTACCAAATTTACTGTTTAGTGAATAAACCCTTAGATCGTTTCGCTTTACTTTATAGCAGAAGCTGGGCAATTCAGAGTATGTTTGAACATTTCTAGTTATTAAGCTGTACTGAACCGTCTGGGTAGTAAGCTATATGTGAGAGTGGCTCACAGGATTATTCACCAAACTGAAATTGCCAGGAATTGAAAGTGAATTTCAACATACAGGCCAAAATAGCAAACTGGGAAATTCTCCAAGTCAATTCTGGTTTTATTTTGGCTTACATTTGAAACTCACTTGGAATTCCTAGCAATTCTCACTTTATTTAAGAACACTGTGTCTTTTAGTGAGAGACTATAGCTAATTAGATGTCTGTGTGTGTTTAGCTAATTAAGTGGTGTATGTGTGTGCAAGACTGAGGGTAATTAACCTTTAAAGATCATAGTAAAATGTCAGGACTGTCATGAAAGCATGGGATTAGCCCAACTATGGTTCTGAATAACGCTAAAGTGAAGTCTGGCAGCTTGGGAGAAAATCATGTTCTAATCTCAAATATCTACCGGGAGCATTACTTTTAGAAATTTCACTTAAAATAAGCATAGAGCTTTCATGACACCAGCATTACAAAGTAAAATGGGCCTAGCCCATTTGGAATCTTGTAATAAATGCATATTCGACAGTGATACAACCTGGAGTCCATAAGGTGGCCCGGCGACCGCCTTAGGACTCAATGTCAGGCTGACCAGCAGGAGGGAAGCGCAGTGCACTCCTCTCCAGCCGGTTACTTCGTGAAGGCAGTGTGGCCAAGCGCAAATGCCTCCTACCCAGCGGAGCCCAGCCTTCTACCACCTGCCCAGCCTACCCTGTTGTCTGCCGCAGGCTGTGTGGAGAAGCGGGATAAGAATTACATCATATCCCTGTTCCCTGTGTACCACACAGTGGGGCTGGTGCCCAGTGATGGGGCTGGGCTGCAGGACAGGACTCCACAGACCCAGACAGCATGCACCCCTGGGACCTGTCTGTACAGTAGGTATGTAATTGTGACTGTCTGCGTATGTATGTCTCTGAATGTGGCAGCAAAATGCACACACCTGTGTAGCCTGTGTAGCTAAAAATCCTTGCACCGGCCACGAGTCCATGGGATCTCTGTGGGCATGTATTCACTTTTCTTGTAACTTTACTCCCCTTCTCAAGACATTAGCCTTCATCTCTTGAACAGTTGTTTACAATTATAATTACTGGTTTTCCTCCTTGTGAAAAATATGCACACAATTCCAAAAAGGATTTTTGCTGACCTTATCTCTGCTTTCTTTTCTATTTTCTATTACAACATTATCTTATATGTGTCGTATTAATAAAAAGATGAAAGTAACACTATAGGGTCAGGAACACAAACATGTATTCCTGACCCTATAGTGTCAACACCACCATCTAGCCCCCCTAGGCCCCTCATGCCTCCATAAATATAGCAAAATCTTACTGTATTCAAGCCTGAAGCTGTAGATCTGCATGCTGTTTGCCTAAAAAAAAAAACAAGCAGTCTGCTGACACCATCAGAAATGGTAGCCTGATCCAATCACAGTGCGTCCGCATAGGATTGGCTGAGACTGACAAGGAGGCAGATCAGGGGCAGAGCCAGCATGATTCAAACACAGCCCTGGCCAATCAGCATCTCCTCATAGAGATGAATTGAATCAATGAATTTCTATGATGAAAGTTCAGTGTCTGCATGCAGAGGGAGGATACGCAGTGCTGCCCTGTGCTCTGCTGACAGCAGATCTGAGTGGAGTGAGGAGTTATATGCCGCAATCAACTCGGAGGTCCCTCCGGTGGCATTCTGAGTGACTGCAACTGGAGGTGTTCCTAGCTTTCAATTTTTCTTAGAAAATACAGTGTTTACATGAGAAAGCTGAAGTTGTTCAGGTGACTTTAGTGTACCTTTAAGGAAACAAAACAAATAAGTCCCTTCTTTTTACACAAATCTTCACCTTACATCTTCAGAAGGTTGAGTGCTTTATGAATGCCATCAGAACCCCTAGGATTAGGATTAAGGCTCTCTAAATGTTACAGCAGCAGTGGGACATGCATGCAATCCTCCCACTGGTCATACTTTTGGCGGTAAAGTCTCAAATTTGGGTTTCTGTCCTGTCATCACAATCTCATTTTTAGACACGCTCTAGAGCCATGCAGAGAGCGCATCATGTGCATCCATAGGGGCCAGCCATTGAGGCTTTCAGTCAGCCTGGA